TGCACGGTGTCTTCTGGGTGGTGGAGCTTTGAGGAGAAATTGAAGGCTGGGTGGGTTTTCTTCGCTGCAGGTTGTAGTGGCAAAAAAACAAACAACAGCCTAGCAAAACCCAAACCCAACAAAACGTGGTTTTTCTTAACTATTCTTATGGTAACTTTTGTTTTCATTGCGCTCTGTAGGGAGGGTGAGCTCCTTGGTCATCCTTTCGAAGTGGTTAAACAGGATCCACACGCAGTTAGGCAGCCTAGTATCTTTTTAATATTTGTATCAACAGTCTGGATGCAGGAGTTGAATACACCGTTAGTAAGTGTGCTGATGAGTCTCTTGAGGGACAGGGGGACTTGTAGAGGGATCTAGCTAGATTGGAGCATTGGGCAATGATTAATAGGACGAAATTTAAAAAGTCCAAATGCTAGATTCTGCATCTGGGATGGAGTGATGCTGGGCACAAATATAAATTGGGACAGGAGTGGCTGGAGAGCAGGCCCCGTCAACAGCAGGCTCAATGTGAGTCAGCAGTGTGCCCTGGCAGCCAAGAGAGCAAACTGCACCATGGGGTGCATCAAACAGCATGACCAGCCGGTCAAAAGAGGTGACTATTCCCACTCTATTTAGTATTGGTGTGGCCTCACCTCAAGTATTGTGTGCAGTTCTGGGCCTCACCACTTAAGAAGGATGTGAAGGTCCTTGAATGTGTCCAGAGGAGGGCAACACAGCTGGTGGAAGGGCTGGAAGGCATGTCCTGTGAGGAGCAGCTGAGGACTCTGGGTCTGTCTAGTTTGGAGAGAAGGAGGCTGAGGGGTGACCTCATGGCTCTCTGCAGCTTCCTGAGGAGGGGAAGTGGGGAGGGAGGTGCTGAGCTCTTCTCCCTGGGATCCAGAGACAGGATCTGTGGGAATGGTTCAAAGCTGCACCAGGGGAGGTTTAGACTGGACATTTGGAATCATTTCTTTACCGAGAGGGTGGTGAAAGACTGGGACAGGCTTCCCAGAGAGGTGGTGGATGCCCCAGGCCTGTCAGTGTTTAAGAAGCATTTGGACAATGGCTTTAACAACGTGCTTTATCTTTTGGTCAGCCCTGAAGTGGTCAGGTAGTTGGACTAGATGACTGTTTTAAGTCACTTCCAATTGAAATTATTCTATTCTGTTCCATTCCATTTGTGCATAGCTACTTCCTAAAATATCAAAAAGCTAGAACTCATTAGCTACTGATGTTCCTGAGATGATGACTGCTAAGATAGGGTGCTATTGCAGTCAAACCCTGGACTGGGTTTCTATATAATGAAGTTTCAAGCTAGCTTTCTCTTGTCAGTTACAAAGCTTTCATCCAGTTACAGTGTAAAAGCTGCGTCTGTTATACAGGTGCTGACAGATCCCAGCTTGTTTCTGTTGTAGATGGGGTCTCTGACTTCTGTTTGTAACAGTGCTGATGAAATGGGAGAATAACTCCTCAGGTCAATTTCTAAAGTAAACTGAGTGTTAACAGCAGCATCCACAGAAATAAAACAAAACGACAAGTAGAGGACATTATATATAACAACCTACTTCTGTGTTTTTTTGGCCATTCCTTTTTCATCCATAACCAAAGGATTTCACTTGTATGTTTCTAATTAAATCAACAGAAAAGGAGAAGTCACCAAGCAGGGTTGCTTGTAGAAGTCTCCATACTTTCCTGATACTCTGTGATGAGTAAACTGCGCATACTTTTTATGCTAATTGAAACTTTAAATATTTGAAATGCATGCTTATTTTTAGTATCTGTATAACTGGTTTTAATTTAAATTGCTTCTATTTGTTACACTTAGAATAGCTGAACTTTGAATTGAGAGTAAATTTCTATATAATCCGACCAAGAGACATGTCATAACTTTAGCTATTGTCAGAAGAGTAAATATGTCTTTTTGGATTTTGTTCTAGGGAATTCACTCTCTTAACTTGAAAGAAAATGTCTACTTCTAACATTGCAGCAAGAGTGGAAACTTGGCTTTCATCCACGTGGCATGTTAAAGTTCCTCTGACATGGCTGGAAGCATGTATTAGTTGGATCCAGGAAGAAAATAGTGGTAGTGACTTAAGTCAAGCTCAGATTAACAGGCAGGTATTTGAGCAATGGCTTCTTACCGACCTAAGAGATTTAGAGTATCCAATTTTGCCTGACTGCATTTTAGATGCTCCCAAAGGAGAGTTGTCAGGTTTCTACTCCATACAGATTGATTCACTCATTGATGTTAGCCAGCCAGCGTATTTGCAGTTGCAGAAGTTAAGAGGGAAAAATACTGTAAATGAAGAAGTAACAGCCAGTACTCAGGCGTTCCAGAAGCCCTGGGAAGCAAAACCTACTCGAATGCTGATGCTGCAACTAACTGATGGGATACATCAAATTCAGGGCATGGAGTATCAACCAGTGCCTGTCCTCCACAGTAATCTTCCTCCTGGCACAAAAATCACTGTACAGGGTATCATTGCATATCGTCTGGGAGTCCTTCTGCTTAAACCAGAAAATGTGAAACTGTTGGGGGGTGAAGTGGATGCTCTTCTGGAGGAGTATTCTCAGGAAAGAGTCCTTGCTAGATTAATTGGAGAAACTGAAAACCCTAATTCAGTTGGACAAGCTGGTCACCACCAAATTGTTTCAAGGCCCGTGGATGAATTAGAACAAACTCTAGGCCCTTCGGATGAAGAGCTTTTAGCCAGTCTTGATGAAAATAATGAATTTACTTTAAACAACAAAACATCTTTAGAAAGTGGATACTGCAGTAGAAGCAACAATTTTAGTACAGCCTCAGGTTCACTGACTGCACACAATGGAAATGTTTTGCTATGGGAATCTGGAAGTCCTTTGCCTCATTCAGATGAACAAGTTTCACCTCCCATAGCATATGCTGATGGCTTTTTTAATGACTTTCCTTTAGAAGATGACTTTCTTCTAGAAGAAGAGATGCAAAGAGACGAAGTGCCGCCAGTGAACGTGAACAGAAACATAGGTTTAATTACTGAGACACTTCCACATACCTCTAAAAGCTCCTGCAATTTATCTTTAAATGGCATTTGTGAAAAAGATGATGTGAATGAAAGAGATAAGTCTGTAGAGACTACCAGTAAGCAAAAGACTTTTGGAGGAACAGTATTTGATGGAAATGGAAATAGTACGAGTAGCTTTTCACAGCACAAGAGCACACACCAGACCTGCAGTTCTGCAGATTTTTCTTTGGAAAATCTTGCTGAAGAAAGGCAGAATGATACGGACCTAGATGAGAGCAGAAGTAAATCCCAGCACACTTCTGATAGCAGGCTGTTAAATGATGATCCTGTATTTTTCTCAAAAACAAATCCAGAAGCAGAGTCATGGACCTTTCCTTGCAGAGCGGAAGAGGCACATTTAGATTTAGATTCTCCACCTTTCACATATATTTCCCTTCTCCTTGCAAAAAAACTAGAAACTGTTACAATTCTGAAAGTTAAGTGTTTTATTGTTACTCTCACTGGAAACCTCACAAGCAGCAATGGGTCTTGGGGTATAAAGGCAAAAATTTCTGATGGTTCAGCTTATCTTGAAGTAGATTTTGCTGATGATATTCTAACAAGTTTGATTGGCTTTTCAGTGGCTGAAATGAATAAGATGAAAAAGGATCCAGCTTTACATCTGAAGCTTAAGGATGGTTTAGAGAAATGTCAAAAGCAACTGATAGATCTCTGTTGTTTGATGACTATAGAGTTTAATCCACTTCAGTCTAAAGCCACTGTATTAATTCTCCAGGATGCTGATGCAAGGCATCTAGAACAATTGAAGAAACGTTTGAATAAATAAAGTGTGCAAACTTGCAGACTGTATTAGGAAACATTTAAGTCAGATATCCCCTGAAGGACTGTTGAAACTTACATTTTAAAGTTAAGTGGTATGTCTTTTCACTTATCAGAAAAAATAATGGAAAAGTGAAAGGAGGAGATGACTTGTTGGAGCGAAACTTAGCAGTTTCTTATGGTGATAGTATTGAAATAAGCTTTCAAGTATTTCTGTCTTAATTTAAAATATTTGTGTATCATTTTCATTCTGCAAAATCCTTTGTGTCCTTGACTGGTGATCTGGCGTAGCAGAATTTGTCATTAAATGGTTAACAACGAACAAACAATCTCATTATTATACTTTTTCAAGGATGATTACTTACCTGATTTATAGAAGACTATCAGTCTTTTCTTGGAGGAAAGCGGTTGAGTAAATTTAAACAAAGAATTATTGTTTCAGTGAAGTCACTTCTGACTATGCCAGCCAGAAAACTTGAATACATATTCAGTGTACAAGAACCTGAAGTGTAAAGAAATGAAATATTTTCTTCTAAATGTTCAGGAGTGGGGAGAAAAAAAAACCCCAAGCCTATACATAAATAAGATTAAAAGCTGTGCATTTAGAAAAATCAAACAAAACAAAACGCCAAATATTTAAACGTTTTTATAAACAGAAAAGAATTATTATATGGGGAATCTATGTTTTGTCATGTAATGTTAATAATTGCTAATAGTTTTGAATCCACAGACAACCTTTTTCATTAACTCTTATGATTACTTGTCTAACCTTTTCACATAGTCAAATAGTTGTGCTACAGACCTGTTGTGTATGTATGTGTATATGTCTTAATTTTGATTACTTTTTTAATTTCTGCTTTTAGAATATGTAAAAATAAACATTAAAGTTTTCATTTAAACTTCGGTAGAAGCTGTTGAGTCATTTCAGAAGAAAAATATACACCTTGTTGAGTGTATAGAGTATCAGAAATGATTTGATTGGGGTTTTTTGTTCTTCCTTTTCCTTCTTCCCATCCTTTTCTCTTGTTTTTTGTTTTTTTTTCTTTGAAATTAGAATAATTAAAATTCTGCCGGGGTAGTGGATCAACGACAGGAGAAGTCTGCACAGTGTTGATAGTGTTTGCAAAGAATGTAAAATTGGTAGCCAGGAGAGAGATTTTTCAATTGGACTGCCAGTATCTTTTTTTTCAGAGCCTTTTCTTTCTCTGAACACTGTCTGTTAGACTGTTGGGAATTGCTGTGAGAGACTGTCAGTATTGCCCTACTGCCCTGTCCCCGATTGAGAAGCATCCTTTGAGACTCTAGGTGACTTAAGGAAAACTAGAGGTAATTTGCTAAGTAAGGTAAAAGTGGAAGAGGGGGACTCTTAACCTTTTTCAGGCTCAAGGCATGAGCTTTTTTAGGCTTTATTTTATATAGCTTAGAAATGTATGAATTCCTGTGTCCCTTTCCTTCCTCTCCACCCTTTTCCCTCCTCAGTGTGAAGAGAACCTGAGCAAACCATAACACTGAGTCATCTTTGGATTTATTTTCTGAGGTTCTTGGGAATTGTGCATCATTTAGAAATGTAAGAGCAAAAATTTTTGCCTGTGTGGAATCTATATAGCTGGATTTTTAGTTACAGTTTCAGAAAAATTGCTTGTTAGTAGGAAACTGCCCATCTCGTGTAATCCCTGTAAAAGGTAATACAGCTGACTGTAAACCCCTAGTGCAGTTTTATGGAAAAAGTTCTTTTATGATGAGTTATAGAAACTTCCTTTGAAGTTTTGGCCGTATGGCTAGCAGTCTGTCATGGTTTAACCTCCACTGGCAGCTAAGCCCCACGCAGCCACCAGCTCAGTCCCCCCCACAGCAGAATGGGGGAGACAATCAGAAGAGTAAAGGTGAGAAAACCTGTGGGTTGGGATAAAGTTGTTTTAATAGGTAAAGCAAAGGCCACACGTGCAAGCAAAGCAAGACAAGGAATTCATTCCCCACTTCCCACAGGCAGGCAGGTGTTCAGCCATCTCCAGGACAGCAGGGCTCCATCACACCTAATGGTGATTTGGGAAGACAACCACCACCACTCCAAATGTTGCCCCCCCCTTCTTCCTCTTCCCTCAGCCCCTTATATGCTGACCATGATGTCATATGATATGGAATATCCCTGTGGTCAGTTGGGGTCAGCTGTCCCATCTGCGTCCCCTCCCAGCTCCTTGTGCACCCCCAGCCTCCTTGCTGGTGGGGCCATGTGAGGAGCAGAAAAGGCCTTGGCTCTGTGTAAGCACTGCTCAGCAGTAATGAAAACACCCCTGTGTTATCAACACTGTTTTCAGCATAAATCCAAACCACAGCCCCATACTGTGAAGAAAGTTAACTCTAACTCAGCCAAAACCAGCAGAGTCTTTAAAGTTCAGGCTAAATGAATAATTTACAGACTTTATTCTACTTGCATAAAGCAAGAGGAATGTCATTCAAAGTGCGGAATCAAATTAAGTGTTTTCTTTGTTTCAGCTGATGAAGTCACATCTACCCCTCTTTTTCTGCATTTGTGTTAAGGTTTAGTCATCTGCTAAAAGAAGTTCATGCATCTTCTATCTTCTTCCACCACCACCATCATTGCCGCCCCCTGCCTTAAAGGCATCATTATTTATCTGACTTTTCCTGGAATACTACTCCTGTCCCTGTTCTCCAGTGCAAGCAAGATGGTAAATCTCAGTGCTACTAGCTGTTTAGAGCTTGACTGCTCTGTAGATATTTCAGTACAATTTTCTGGCATATAATGATTACAGACCTGTGTTTAAGCTTTTGGTATTAATGAAAAGTAATGTATAGTTTTTCAGACAAGAAAAGGAATGAAATAAAGTGATTTTGAGAAAACATGCTGAGTTAAGAGCAGTATGTCAAACAGAAAATGGCATATGTGGCTGTCTGTACTGGTCGTTGATTCGTGCCTTATCCACTTAATTTGCTCTCAAAACCAACTTTTCTATTACCAGTCTTAACACTTGTGCTGTTTATATGTATTGAGTGTGTACGTTGCCTCAGTGTGCCAGCCAGTGGTGGATGTTGCAGTTCTTCACGTAATCAAAGTTCTTACAGGCTGAATTCAGAGAACAGCCTGCAACCTCAAGTGACCATGGTAGTGATCTGGAGCAGAAATATGGCCACACTCCTGCTGGGGAGTGACACAGAATTCCTCTACGAGCTGCTGAAGGCAATTGTCATAGCAGCTGCTCTCACAAGTTACATATAGCCTTCTAGCAGAAAGCAGTTCCTGCTCTTTCTGTCTTCTCTTCTCCATGCTGTTTTACAAACTCGCTTTTTCTTGCTAACATTCTTTCAGCCGCTTAAGTAGACTTCTGCGCCTGTGGTGTATCTGACTGCATGCAGTTTGAGAAGATGTATTCTTCAGGAAGGTTTTCATATTAATGGGAAAAATAAACTGCATTTCTTACATTGCTGATCACAATGGAAATTTTCAACTAATTCAGTTTTAAAGTATGAAACCTATCATGTTCTCATAGAATGACTTTGATGTTATTATATTAATGATGAAAGTTTGCTCTCCCTGCTTTTCTTACAGTTATTAAAGAAAATGAAAATAAATTGGCTATGACGGTGTCAGGTACCTGCATCACAATATCCCATTTAAAAGCTCTGTCACTAAGGCAAGCTGGTAGAAGAAACAAAGTTCTCGGGAACATTTGCTGCGCCCTACTTCCTTTAAAGGTATTCACTCTCAAACTGTAGAACAAGGCAGTGGCTAAACTGAAGAATGTGGCAGGTTTCCAAATAAACTAGGCTGGCAAGAACAGCTTGAGGACTAGCCTAATCCTACTGGATACTGGTTTGGCCACAACGATGCATATCATTATAAGCCAGCAACTTCCTTCTTGTTGAATGAAGGCAGTGTCCCAAGGAAGAAACAGCCAGCTGAGATAATGTCATTTTAAAGTATCCGTTAGGAATGTTAAGCAATTTCTTAAAGGCTGTGCTGTACTGCTCCAGTAGTGTGATTGCATACTAGAAGCGTTATGTATTCCAGGCCATATCAGTAGAAGTTTTCACAGTAGCTGAATATGGTACATGATTAGATAGAATGGTAAATATAACATTTGGTTGTAAATATAAAGCCCTATTTCTTAATGTCTTGCTGTAACAATGTCAAGTATTTCTGTTTAGAATAAAAAGATAAAAACTTTAGGCTTTTTGTTATAGGAAGGGAAGAGTCATTTATAGAATCACGGAATCATAGAATGGTTTGGGTTGGAAAGGACCTCAGCCTGCCATGGGCAGGGGTACACCCTCCA